AGAAGAGAAATTTTTTGTCTAATTAAATGATTGGATAAAATTTTCTAATTTCCTTATGTTTCTTTTAAGGACTGTGATACATTTACTCTCTCCATCTATACCTTCTGTCATATACCTTTACTTTCTGTTATTTAATCCATTATCTCTAGACTTTGTCTCTTACTCTTCTTGTTTTCCTTTCTCCCTATCTCTATTTTCCTCTTACTCTCCCTGCTTTCCTTTCTCCCTCTTATTGTTCTGATTGACTTGCGTTTGAAATGTTGGAGGAAAGTTTTCAATTTTCTTATCAACCAAACAACATACTATATTATCAAATTTGTAAAAATTCTAACAAATTTATTATCTTCTTCCTTTTTCCATCTTCCTCTTTTTTATTTTCTCTCTCCATCTGGAGAACCCAGATCGAGAACTTGGTCTAGGTTCTCCATTTGGGTTCTGTTGGAGAACCTAGATCAGGTTCTGTAGTAGAACCCAAATTTGGGTTCACATCTGGGTTTCTCTAGGAGAACCCAAATTGAGGTTCTCCTTAAGAACTTGATATGGGTTCTCCTCAACAGATCAAGGAGGGAGGAAGAGAAAGAAGAAGAGGGGAGGAGAGGGAAAGACGAACAAAAAGAAAGGAGGGAGAGGGGAAAGAAGGAAGAAGGTTGAAAATCAAAGAACCAGTGTTGGGTGAAGAGGAGAGCTGCTGGGTTAATGGAAAAAACGGAGAGAAACAGAAACAGAATGAGTGGGTGACGGAGGGTGTAATGGGAGAGTGTGTAAATATCATTTCCCTTATTTTAAACCAAACTTTTGTAAATATATCTTAGGCAAAAAGCCTTCTTAAGCCCCCAAACTCACCCCAAAATAACATTTAAGCCTCTAAACTAAAAATGAAACAAATAAGCTCTCCAACTCCATTAATGATGCAAATAAGCCCTTCTCATTCATGGGTTTTTATGCTTTCAAGATGATATTAGACATGAAATTCTGTTTGGCTAGTTTGTGAAAAGGAGTTACTTGCATCATTAGTGGAGTTGAAGGGCTTGTCTGTTTTATTTTTAGTTTAAGGGCTTAAATGCTATTTTGAGATAAGTTTGGAGGCTTAAGAAGGGTTTTTGCTTATATCTTAACTCTACACTAAAAGAAAGGAGACAAATTCTTGTAAATATTTCATAGTTCTTTTTTTTTTTTTATTGATTCATTGAATGATAAATAAAAAATAAGAAAATTTCTCTTTTTAATTCCACAAACCGAAAAAAAAAAAAAAGTTCGAATGGTTGTTGCCACCCATGAACAATAATTCATTTAATATTAATGTTGAGAACATTATCAAAGAAATTATTGACAGTCTTAACACTTTTGTTAGTGATAATAATTAAGGCCAAGCAAATGATTGGTTAATTAAGTGGGTAGTCGAAAATCAATATAAAATTAACTAATGATTACAATGGTTATTGGTTTTATTTTTTATTTTTTATTTTGGTTAGATAATTGAGAAAATTCAGTCACTTAATAGGTAGAGAGTTGAAAAACAAAAAACTGAA